GCTTTGATTATGACAGGCCCCGCACATACTTCACGCGACAGTCATACGCGATTTGCTAGTTACAAGATGCTAGCTACGGGGTGGGAGTTGCTACAGGGGTTAAGGGAGGGTGCTGGTTATGAATAAAATTCTATTTTGCCGATTTTATCGATTTTTGAGTGCTGATTAAAAATCTATTTTATTGATTCACCGATGCTTGGAAAATCTTGAGCTAGGAGTTAATATAGGGGATACGAGGGTGCTGACAATAAATGGATCGGCTTTAGCCGAATATGCAGAAAGTTTTAGATCTGGTTGCTCTAGTTATTCGATAAATCATTCGAATATTTATTCGAAATTCGACTCCCAATGTGCGAATATATTCGATATTCTAAATTCGATATTTTTGACTTTTCGTTTTTATTCGGGATTTATTTATTCGAGAATTTTCAAATCGCGAATTTACTCGATATTCGTTTATTCGGGATTTTTCGTTTTCGAATTTATTCGATATTCATTCATTCGATAAAAATTTCGAATTTATATTACTGTGTATACTGTGCAGTAAATATCCTGGTTCAAACATATCCATCTAATGCTGCGATGTTGAAATGCTGGGAAAAGTCAACGACTGAATTTACACTGATCTTGCTTTGTAATTTTTGCTCGCAAAATCTAGTATAAATCTCACTGGAAGGCACTTCGACTTCCTTCCCTTGCCAGATTACTCACAAGTAATTGGAGAACATGTAAACACTTTTCAAAATTTTATGAGTGAAGCCCACCATGCATCCATCCCATTGCCTCTGTCCATAACATCCCCTCCGCTCACTTGAGATCTCTCATCATAAAACTAGTAGTATGTAAAACATTGTTGAACGCGGTGTGAGCATACCCTCGATACATAGAGCCATGTACTCTGGTAACCTTCACTTTGAGGGCTATGAGGGGACACAACCTTCACCTGGAAAAAAAAAACAGAAGCCATCCGGGGCTTCGCCTTGGATGTTATTATCCTGACTATATCGGAACGTATGTTAATGAAGCAAATATAGGGAATAATATCTCTAGCTTGCTTCAGCGAAACCGAAAATTTGCGTTTTCATAGCCTTTTATACGTTAAAAAGAAGGTTACTGTGGAATTTTCGCCAAAATTCAGGACGAAATTTCTCAGCTAACCTCTTATTTGACCAAAATAAAGTTTTAAAAGTTTAGGAAAGCTATTGGAGTTGAACAAAAACGAGAAACTGCGCTTAATTCTTGCGCAGAGATTCGCGCCTTAATACGCTGGTCTATCTCGTTAATAAGTAATTTTCAAAGCTTGGGACGTTGTCAGTTCTCCTCGTCGTATCATGACGATCAGAATGATATATAATATTGCAGGGTTTCGTTGAGACCCCGCTGAAATCTACGACCAGAGCCAAATGCCCCGTCGGCTCTGGTCTGTCTCCTCTGCTCGTCTGCGTCTCCGCGTGCTGCGCGCTACCTCGCTACCCCAAACGCGGGGAGCGGGGCATTTGGCTCTGGTACCCTTTTCTTCGCTGTTTCGAACTCAAACTTTGCAAGCTATATATCATTTTGAAGCTCTTGATCTCTATATTTACGCTGACAACGTTCCAGAACCACATTTTTTGATTTGATCGGGAAATCCAGTAAAAACCTTGTTTTCGAAAATTTCTTGTTTTTCTCCTAGTTTAACTCTTTTTACGCGGTTTTTTCGTGCATTCTATAGATTTTGCTTCTGTTCATAATGCTGACAACCACCCAGCCCTTACCTCTTCGATTATGGTGGAATTTTTTGCAAAAAGCGTAAAAAGTGCGTTTTTCTTTACCTTGTTCTGTTTCAGTGCTTTCGCATCGATTTTTTTCCAGCTTGGGCGATTGTTGCTCAGAACAATAAGCGCAACAATCCAGACAACGTCCCAGAAACAGGAACATCAATGCGGGGGGTAAAAATTCAAAGGACGCATCAAAAATCAGAACCCCGTGTTGCGAATTGCTGGTCCTGGAGCGAAAACTTGTACTCTGAAAAACCGCCGAAGGAAAGATTTCAAAACTTATTGCAGCGTTTTTATCCGGTTTACAGCGGTTTTTTGCCTTTATATCTGTTTCACGTCATTTTCTATTCTCTGATCTTCTTCAAACAATCTTCACTATTTATGACGTCAGATGTTCAAACAACCTTCACTTTTGGCGCCCTGTCTCTAGACTATCGAAGGATGGGTGTGAGTGGAGTGCGACCCGTATGACGCAACAGTAAGTACGAACCAGTAGCGTACGGACTGGGGTGGTGCGTGGTCCCCCCCCCCCCCCCCCCCACCAAGAAAGAGTTGCAAAATTTTTGAAAGTTACATATATTAGCAAATGAGCTAGTGACTTGCATTGTGATCTACTTTTATGCGAAGGCCTACATCTGACATTAGCATCTTTAACACTTCATTACGCTCACTGCGATATCAAACAGATTTTACCGTCAGTGTGCGCTTTGATCTACCCGAATCGCAATAATTAACGATATCACTTTATTTTTGTTTGTTTGACGAACATAGTTGCAAAAGTTGAGTAGTTCCGACTTTTTATTTTCCTCACCTCTCCAGCCCCACCGAAAGCACGTTCACTTCGGAAAGGTCAAGGAAAAATGCGTTTCTGCCTAGGATCTGCTTTATGTGATGCACTTGAATTTATGTATTAAACAAAGCTTTGCAGACTTACGCTCCTGCGGCTAGGCGTTTTTCGACGCTTTTGAGCGCTTTTAGGCGATCTTGGGCGAAATGGGTTCCTAATGACTTTCTTCACTGAAGCGTTCTGCAGATAGGAAAGACACATTTGATCCGGTAACATTCCGACTTCGTGACTTTCACTTGTTAGAGATGATACCCGCAACATCAGAGTAGATCGATGAGCATGAAAACTTTGCAGAGCAAAACCAATAACTTTATTCAGATCAATGCTTCGTAGCTAACGAAAGCAAATTTAGACTCAGATTCAGACCCTCCTCGGATTTTTGTGAGTTTAGGTAGTAGATCCCTTCCACAGTACACTGTGGAAGTGCCCACTCAATGGATGTGGGCGGAGCCGGTGGAGTTAAATGCATTTTTCAGGACTTAGCGCACGAATTGACTGATGGGGTTGTTTCGGCTACAGTGTACTTGGGGGGTTTGCTATCTTCCACAAAAATCTGAGAAGAGTCCGTTTTATCGATCCACTGCCTTCAAGTTCTTCCCTTATTAACATCAATATCCTTTTTCCACGTACTACAGTGCTGGACATAATTATAGGGACACTCTAGAAATCGTCGTAATTTTCGTTCTTGTCAGTGAATCTGTCTGAAACTTTGCTGTATGGTGCGCATGTAAGCCTACCATAACTCCTCAGAACGGCTTCCAATCCCGTTGATTCCGAACGGAGAAAAATGGAAAAATTCGAAAAAGCCTGTTTTGCAAGCTGGACATAATTATAAGGACACCTGGCCTTTTTGAACATTATCGCATTCCTTGACTCCCAAATTTTTTTGTAGAGTTATATCCCAGAATATGAAACTTTTGCAGCACCTAAGACCTGTCATGCTACTCAAGGAAAGATGATCCTTGCATTTTTCGTTTCCAAAGGCATCAGAAGTCAAACTGCGTCAACAAACAGCTGGTTTGAGGAGTTTTCAAGCCCGCGTTCATTTCAAATGACAGTCCTGGAATACACATAGCCTTTTTGATAGATAAGGTGAAGAGCGCTTTCGTAAACTCCGTGTAATCGCTGATTTTGACGGACAGACTCCAACCTCAACATAGGGTTGTCGCGCTTTTGCACCACAAAACTCGATTTTCAAGTTACAGAAGACGCTGCAATGTAGCCGCAACAATATACGTACAACAATAAACTTGTGTGCCTAGTAACGAAAAAATTTCGGGCTTGCACATTCTGGTTCAGCCGCGTTGAGAGTTGAGTCGAGCACCCTGCACAATCATATCCAACTCAAGAAATCGAACAGGAGAGCGCTTGAAACTACAAAATCTTAACTAATCTCACCTACCGCGTAAAATGCGACATGAAACAGAGAAGGATATAGTGAGATTTGTGATTGTGTTGAATCTACTGCTCGCAGAGAAATTTCGTGGAAAGTATTTCAAATCTAAATGCCAACTGCAGCAGTAGAAAAAATCTGAAAGTTGTTGCAAAAGCTGCGTCTCCATGTAGACAATATAATAAATCGAGTCCATCATTTCACGAACATTGGAAAGTGAGTTTTGTGGTTTAAAAGCGCGACAATCCTATGTTGAGGTTGGAGTCTGTCCGTCAAAATCAGCGATTACGCGGAGTTTACGAAACCGCTCTTCACCTTATCTATCAAAAAGGCTAATTGTATTCCAGGACTGTCATTTGAAATGAACGCGGGTTTGAAAACTCCTCAAACCAGCTATTTGTTGACGCAGTTTGACTTTTGATGCCTTTGGAAACGAAAAATGCAAGGATCATCTTTCCTTGAGTAGCATGACAGGTCTTAGGTGCTGCAAAAGTTTCATATTCTGGGATATAACTCTACAAAAAAATTTGGGAGTCAAGGAATGCGATAATGTTTAAAAAGGCCAGGTGTCCTTATAATTATGTCCAGCTTGCAAAACAGGCTTTTTCGAATTTTTCCATTTTTCTCCGTTCGGAATCAACGGGATTGGAAGCCGTTCTGAGGAGTTATGGTAGGCTTACATGCGCACCATACAGCAAAGTTTCAGACAGATTCACTGACAAGAACGAAAATTACGACGATTTCTAGAGTGTCCCTATAATTATGTCCAGCACTATATCATTGGCGCCTTTTCCCCTCTCTGACACCTGACGTTTTAGTGGGTAGTTCATAACTTTTCGACCTGGAAAGGCTGCGATGCATTTATGTTGGTGATATATGGCTGATAGGCTTGAATTGCCATCTTTTTGCGATTGTTTGTAAAGATGTGCTCAAGCAGATACCCAAAATCGCGCAGCTAGCCTCAGGTGCATTTTTATAAATTGTAATACCAATAATCATGTTCAGATTTGCCAACTTTCCCAACTAGTACACAATTCGGAGATTGAGATGACACTGAGCTGCATCGAAGATAGCCAGGGTGCTTCGAGTTTTCCTTTCTTGAAGTTGCCGCCGGAATTGTGTGTGCGGATTTTGAAACACTTGAGACAGGTTCGTATTGTTATTGACAATTGTGTTGATTGGTTCATGGTTATACCAACTCTAATTTTTCAGATTTCGGGGATTTTGGAAGATTTGCAGAAAACTGTTAGTGCCACTTGATAGAGCATTGCTGAAAAGGGAATATGCGCAAAACTCCATTTGTTGTCAACTCGAAAAAATCCAGTGCCGAGCGTGTGAATCTTGACGCTTCCAAATCAAGAAACACAAATAAAGTTCTTTTTTTAACCACATTACTCCAACATCCCGCATTCGAACATTCACGTAGATGGTTGATTCACCAAGTTCTGAGCCTCTACTAAGCCCATGCGAAGGCTCTAAAAAGTAGCTGATCTTTCTCATGCGACCGGTTTCTGCACAACCCAACATGGGTCTCTGGGGTTCTTCAAAACAAAACCCCTTTTGATTACGGTAAAATTTTTCGAAGTCCTTTGACTTTATCAAAAACTTATCGTTTTTTGCAGGCTTTCTCTCATGTGTAGTAAGGGACCAGGTACATGAAATTTCAAAGGAAATGGGATGCGCTAACCCACAAGAACCTGGCGTTGGGGTGCTTTAACAGAGCGGTTTTATGAACAGAACGAAGGCACAACCAGAGGAGAGGAAACGATATGAATCCGTCTTCTTGCTTACGAATAGAATTTTTATATAGGGGAAGTTGTCGATAACAGAAAAATTCAAGACTTATGTGGCTCCAGCTGACTCAATCGTCCCGCTGGGGTCCTAGAGGAGAACTAATTTGGAGAAAATTTACCACGTCGCATAGCTTTCCGCTTTTTACACGATGGACTTTTAGCATACAGCGTCACTGTGGAATAAGCCTTTTGATGAAATAATTTCAAAATCTAGTAATTTGTGTAGCAAGGTTTTCAAGCGTGCTGAATTTCCTCCATAATTTTCCATCAGTTTTTCGAGCTTTGTTGACGGCGTATTCACAATTCTAACGAACATCAGAAAGTTAGTTGTTACTCTAAATCTGAAAAAAACTCATGAAAGAAACAGTGTACTGACGTGCAATTTTCAAATTTAGAATCAGCGACTTCGATTGACCCAGTTCAAGAGTTTCTGGCTTGTTTGGTTTTCTTTCTGAGGCAAAATACCGCTTTCAATGGCTCGAAATCCTCGAAATTCCTATCGGAATCCTACAGTAACGAAGCGTTGCTGATAAGTCGCTCCATACTCGCAAAATAAAATACTTTCTGGCCTTCCATTTTATTATACTTTGTAACTCACCAGAAAACTGTTAGAGGATATCGCGAAGAAACTTCGATTGAACAATACCACCCGTAATTTGTGAAAAAAAAATGGCGGCGGCACTTAACTCACGCGGCGCCGCCGCAGTTAGGTGACAAACGCCGCGTCGCGCGACAAAAGTCGGCGGAAAAGCGGCATTTGCCGCCTAACTTTGCCGCGCAAAGCCTAACTTTTTTACAAAAAAGACCTTATCTTGATCCAAAATTTATGAATTTCATATATAAGAGTACCTTTCAACTCAGCTCGGCGAGGCGCATCTTTCAGTATACAGATGTGCCTAGTTGTGGGATACAGGTTTTTTTCCTTGGAATTTTAGTGTAAATGGATCATTCAGTGTGCTGATTCCAGAGGCTACCTGCACATTCTGTTGAGCACTGCAGAAATAGGGTGGGTATAATTTAAGAGCTCACTCTGCACGGATATGTGTAAAACTGGGCTTTTCTCAGCGAAGTATGACGGGTCCCAAAAATGCAAGAAGACAAAGCGGAATGGCTGGCAAATCGCATGCGAGGCAAATATCGTGGAATGCCGCGCGTGCTGTGCAATGTACATACCGCTCGGAATTTGAAGGCGGCGGCTGCTGGACTCAGGCGACCTAATTTCGGCGACGCCGTTGTCGAAATTCGCGTCGCATTTTAATATGAATCCCCAAATGCAATATTCCAAAATTCGGGATTTGAAAACTCAGTTTGGCGAGGCGCACTTCTGCTTGGTGTAAAGTAGATATACGGTATGCAGTCAATTTCACGTTCTTCTTAAAAGTTCAGTGTAAATCAATTATTCACTGTGCTGATTCCAGAGGCCACATTCTGTTGAGTGCTGCAGCAATACGGTAGGTATAATTTAAGAGCTCATTCTGCACGGATATGTGTAAAATTTTGTTTAGAGCTTTTATTCGGTTTGCTGCTTACAAAGATTTTATTTATCTGCTGCAACGTCTCCTAAGCGCTATTTAATTTTTCTTCACCGAAAAGAAGTCATTAACTGCGCCGGTGGCAAACCGTTGAGGTACCTCAAATGTAAGGCTGAAGGTGAACTGCTTGGATCTGTTTGGACTCTTGATTTGCCACTCACCGTATGTCTGCAGTATGCACTATACCTACCGTATCCATTATGCTCAGCAGAATGTGGCCTCCGAAATCAGCACATTGAGTAATTCATTCGAGCTAAAATTTAAGAAAAACGTGAAATTGACTGCCTACCGTACACCTAACCCCACGACTAGGCACTCTACAGAGTTTATCAAATGCAGCGTCGTTTGTATCAGCATCTCCACTCCCGCGCTGGGCTCTGCGTCTCTTCCGCAAACATGCTCTCTGATCACTTTCAATCTGAGGTTCCGCCTTTCCCACGCTCGCCCTGGGAAAGTGATCAGAGAGCATGTTCGCGGAAGAGCTACAGAGTCCAGCGCCGGAGCACAGATGCTGATGCAAGCGACACTGCGTTGGAAAAGCCCGGTATGTATCCGAAGACGCGCCTCGCCCTTCGCCAAGCAAAGTCGAATGGTGGTTTTGAATTCGGAATTCACCACTATGCTGATTGCGAGTAGTCCATCAATTTTCAGAGATTACCTTTACTTTCATCGCTTCTTAGCATTCAGCTACGGAGCTGGGAGTTGACGCATGGGCTAGGTGAATAAGCTGATCACGAAGTCGTAATGAAGCAGGAGACTGTGGAAGACATGTGGAAGTGGGCCGTGCGGGAAATGCTGTACGAAGGTAGGGCTTGTGATATACAGTGACCGCCAAAAAGTTGCGGACAAGTCGCCTTCATTCTTTCATCGCTCATTTTCAGATGGAAAACAAATATGAAAAATGATTGGATTGCTTGTGGTGATAGAGCTCTTCAAGAGTTACAATCTAGCACATTGAGTAATTCATTCGAGCTAAAATTCAAGAAAAACGTGAAATTGACTGCCTACCGTACACCTAACCCCACGGCTAGGCACCTCCATATGCTGGAAGATGCGCCTCGCCGAGCTGAGTTGAATGGTACTCTTATATATAGAATTCATAAATTTTGGATCAAGCTAAGGTCTTTTTTATAAAAAAGTTAGGCGTTGCGCGGCAAAGTTAGGCGGCAAATGCCGCTTTTCCGCCGACTTTTGTCGCGCGACGCGGCGTTTGTCACCTAACTGCGGCGGCGCCGCGTGAGTTAAGTGCCGCCGCCATTTTTTTTCACAAATTACGGGTGGTATTGAATGTCCAACAGCTAAGTTAACCATATAGTTTTCAGGATGGAGTTGCATCACTTTGGGATCGTGGGCAATTTCGTCATTTTCGTCTTGTTTGCCATGCGATGAATGACATTATTGAGAAACATCGAGCCACTATTGGACCAATGCTAGTGGATAGATTATTCATCGGACAGGTAGAACTTCCCGCTCTTCTGGCATTTGCCCGATTAAAATGTCAATTTTTTTTCATTTCAGCACAGAACTTTTAATGTTGGCCCAAAGCGTTTTGTGGTGTCAGATCCCACTGAACTACCAAAGTGCTTAGATTCATGCGCCCACTCTTACATTTTACAGGCCGTGTTCTATGCGGTAAGTTCCAATATGTGGGAAAACTGTGGGTTAGGTTGCTCAATAATTCTATAAGTTTTATATTTGTTGAAAGTGTTGGCCGACTCTCTTCATTTTGTGACACATTTTTCTCACTTTCGATTTTGGTGACAGACATTGTATTTGTTCTTTATCGTCGTCGAAGCCTCGCAGTAGCACTTCAAGAAGGCACAACTTCAAAACTCACAAGTCCACTTAAAATTTGAACAAAAAATGTTAGTTCTTCAATACAGAAAAAGGAAGATATCGTAGTTTAGGGCGGTTCCAAAATAATGTAGCAAACGTTTGATCTGCGCTAGCTCTTTTATATATAGAGCTTTTGCCCAACTTGAACGCCACCTTGAGCTGATTTCAACTTTAATTTACAGTACAGTATAAAGCGAATCATCGATTGCTCTTCATTGCTGTATGATTACGGTACAAACTAGCCGTGGTGTGGTTTATGATAAAATCTCAAGTATCCGAGAAGTTGTGTACCAGGATTTTCAAGCGCACTGTTTCATTACTTAACTTTTCACAAACTTGAAAAGCTTTTGAAATGGTGTAATCATAATCTTAGGGAACAAAAAACTGAAAACTGAAACAGCTATAGCGTTTTATAATACTTAGCATCACTCATAAATCATGCATTGCCCTAAATGCATATTTTGTTATTTAGAGTCACTGGGCTCTCACTAGCCCAGCGTAATGGTTTTCAGGTTATCTTATATGTGTTTTTTGTACGGCGACCAAAATTGGTATACGATATATAGCTACGAAAACCAAAAGAGATCATATGTTTTCTGTGCCAAAAAAGTGCTTGTACAAGTGTGTTGCGAGCGTTTGGTACCAACCGCCGTTTGGAAGAGGATTGTGAACAAATCAAAAACCATATGTGATACTATTCGAACCAGTACTAAGCTGAGACTTCAGAAAAAGTTCGATGGGCTGTTAGAGCAAAGACAACAAAGATTGCAACCATATGGTACGTTCAGTCGAAGTAATTGTCTAAATTCTGACCAAACTTCTCAAGCAATACAGAACAGTCTTCTTGCTCCACGAGTAACAGTTCTCGGTAATGCGTCTCTTTCTGAAAACGCCTTGTCTGTCTTGAATTTGGGACCTAGCTTTTCACCTACTCAAATTGTGAATCCCAGGGTAGTCCGCAAGATTGTTGGCAGCTTACAAACTTTACATGACCGCCTGCGACTGAGAGCAAAACAAGAATGTGAGGAATTAGATTAGATAGGCAACAAGTTATAGATACGAGGGACACAAGATTACCCGTTATACCATTCCCTTCACTTGTGTACAAACCTCAAGAGCCTAACGCAGTTTTAGATACGAAGTTTCGCCTCTTTACAACATCGCTTTTCGGCATTCTTACACGATACTCTCAGAAACGTTTACCTCGTAATCTCACTCCCGGCCAGTATCAAGTCTCCGTGAATTGCGAAGCATGTGCGTAAACGGTGAAATCAAGGTTTCTATTTCCGATAAAGGAGGCGAATTTACCGTTATAAGCCGTGATTTAGATGCCGCGATAATCAAACTTCACCTAAGCGATGATAGTCTGTACCAACCATCATCGGAAAAAGAGTTTACGAAACAGTACAGGCGCTTGAATAGGGTATGGGTCAACACCGCGAAAGACGTCGGATTATCTAAGCCTACTGTCTCGCGACTTGGGTGTGATCTTCCCATCTGCCCTGTGCTATATGTCCTAATCAAAACGCACAAAATTCCTCCCTCGTCTCTCTCCTCTAACAATCCACTGGATTACAAGGTTAGACCAATTATAAGCTGCGTAGGTGGACCGAATGACAAAGTTTCATGGTTGCTGAATGTGATATTGTCTCAGCTTTTCAGATACATTCCCGCGCATCTTTCGAATACAAACATGTTTCTTGAGCGGCTGCATAACGCAAAACTAGAAGGTGAATGTAGTATGGAGTCTTTCGATGTCGTTTCACTCTACACCAACGTTTCCAATACGGATGCTATGCAAGCATATACGAACTCTTATGCGAATACCACAGCTCGCTTAATATGTATGGCTTTAACATAAGACAGGTGATGACGTTGCTGAATGAGTGCTTAAATTGCTCCATATTCCGTTGGTCTGGCCAGTACTTCAAGCAAATTAGAGGTTTATCCATGGGACAAAGATTGGCACCCATAGTGGCGAAGTTTTTATGTCGAAAGTAGAAAGTCCGGTGCTAGCGCGTAAACCTCTCTTGTACTGCAGATTCATTGACGATTGCTACATTGTATGTGCGAGCCAAAAGGAAATCGATACTTGTTTCGACATTCTGAATGCGCAATCGCCAAAAATAAAGTTCACACGCGAAAAACCTCATCAAAACTGGTTAGCTTTCCTGAATGTTGAGGTTTATTCACGCAATGGAATTTGGAAAACCAAGTGGTACCGAAAGCCTACCCATAAAAATATTAGGTTGGCTAATAAATAAGTTCGTTTTGACATGCAAATTCAAAGCTTCATAACAATTCACGTAACAGCTCTTCAGCTAAGATTTTTTCGTGAAAAGATAGCCCTAAGCCTCTACTAAAAAATATCAAATAGACAAAATTTCATGTTACCAAAAAATGACAGTTATAGCCTTATATGGTCAGACTTCTAAAAAATCGCTTTTTTGACTTTCCAGCTTTCGTTCTCAGCTTGCAATGAGTACACAGGCGAGTAATTTGGTGGCTGGATACATACAGCCTTTGGCTAGGTGGCGAACCACAATAGAGATTGTGATCTGCTGTTTCCGAATTTCTGCAGTCAAAATTGTGAAAATTTCCAGGTATTTGCGCGTAAGGGTCAAATTTTGGGCATTCCAGATAACTCGAATTTGGCCATCTATGGCCATGCAATTGGTTGGAAATTCAAAAATTTGTTTTGTGGGTAGCGAATCTACACTTTACACCTGACTTCAGTTCGTTTTTCGGAGCGTGATTTTTCGAAATTTTGAGGAAAAAATCCGACCAATTTTCTTTCCTTTACCATTTCATTGTCAGAAAAATTATTTTTGAGAAAAAAGAGTGAACCGTCCGATTCTCCTTGATCTGCTCTTTCCAATGGTACCACATGTGCACACAAAAACTTTTTTGTGACAATTCTGCAAACTGCTAAAAAGACCGAACTTATTTTTTAGCCAACCTAATATCTTATTGTTAGTTCACTATTGCTCAGCACATCCACGAAACATGAAGAGGTCTATCTTGAATAATATGTTCAGAACAGCTAAAATGGTCTCTTCTGGCGCTCAAGAACGTATGGCATCTCTGAAGCTGGCTAAAGACATCGCACTATCCAAAGGATATATGCAAAAACCGCTAGGTGTAGTAACTCGAATAGATGCCCACTGCATGAGAAAGACACCCAAAAAGTTTCCTTTTGCATACCTTTCGTAACGGAGGACTTAAGAAAAGCTGTTAGGAGGAGTTTGTATCAAGCGGGCTTGCAAGAATATGTAGGAGTTGTAGACATTCCTCCTCCCAATCTGAGGGAACGGCCATAGGTTGTCGGTGTTGTCGATGTTGTCGATGTTGTCGGTGTTGTCGGTGTTGTCGGGGTTGTCAGTGTTGTCGGTTGTCGAGATTGCCGGTCGTTGTAGGACCTCATGATAGACTCCACGTTTCGCGCGCTCTCTAAACCGTCTCTGACCCCGACAACCCCGACAACACCGACAATACCGACAACATCGACAACACCGACAACACTGACAACACCGACAACATCGACAACACCGACAACCTATAGCCGTTCCCTGAAGAAACAGCTAATCCGCAATCGCGCATATGACAATATTTGCTCAACACCAAATTGCGTAATATGTCCCTTTGGAAGACTAGGTGATTGCCTAAAGTGCGGGGTCTTCTATCTTATTACCTGCCGAGTATGCGGTGAAGAATATGTAGGTGAGACGGACGACCATTGTGTCTACGGATCAAAGAGCACTTAGTCGGACTCACAAAACGTAAAGCATCCACTCCCCTAAGTGCACATAGCAGAGTGTCACACGGTAATATGCCGTTTGATATTGCTGCCACAATCTTGTCCTATGAGCAAGAAACTATCCCACGCTGGACACTCGAAGCATTTTGGATTACGTCACGTAATCCCGAAATGAACAAAAAAGGACGAGTGCATTACCGTAATCAAAGAGTTATCACCATATCAAAGCCTCTGCGGTTTTGATTGTCAAAGTATAAACATCACGAGCAAGGGCATACCATCACATTCTGCACAGCTTGACCACGAGCGGTCAGATCACTCGACTGACGTCGAATAAAGTGTGATATGGTCTGGCTCTTTGCTGGTCTCGTGCTCAACTCAGTTCGAATCGTAAGGGCGAGAGGGCCCAGCAAGTACTTCACACATACGTTTTTGATTACAGGCTCTGAAGACGGCGTTGGCGCCGAAACGTTAGCCAACCAATAAATTGTTCGTATACCAATCTTGGCCGCCGTTCAAAAAACACATATAAGATAATCGAGTCATGCCAAGATTCATAGAAGGTCGAACATGGAAATTATTAGATTTTCAGGTTGTTTGGTTTCCATTCTGGGACGGAATATAGCCCTGAATGACTCAATACCCTTTCACAAAATTCGTAATCCTACAGTAGTAAAGAGCGATCAAGGATGTGCTCCGTATTGAAAGTCTAAGTTGAAGCCAACTCTACATTATGGCGTTTTGCAGATGAAAGTTGCTCATACGAGAGAGTCATAAGAAATAAAACGTTCGATACTCTTATATGACACCTTGTATCTAACAATATTGTAAAGATTATGGCTTTCTCAGGAGCGGAAAAGGATAGATTTCGCAATATGTTAACAAGAACTTTTTCCTGGTCGCTAAAGCTGTGATTTGTCATTGTAGCAGCGCTACTAGATTTACATCTACGCTATTTTGAGTCTCTGGCATTTCACACTTTCAAAGAAACATTGATATACATATAAGTCACATCATTTCAAGTTGATTTTACATTTTTTGCATAACATCGGCTCCGCATTGCTCCACAACGATGAATATAAACTGTAGACATTCTACCGCTATCGAGAAACTTTTAACGTCAACTGAATTGGTAAGGAATTGAAAAAATTCTAAGCATATATGAAGTAAATTCCAAGTATATATATATAAAGACTTTCTACACAACAGACGAGGAGACTGTTAGTAAATTTCAGGTTTCGCTTGACTCCTTTACAATCAAGCTTATAACTGATAGCCTGCGACAGAATCACATACATGTAAGCGGAATGATCTTTTATGGCGTTGAGTTCACCTGCAAGGCAAATTTGCTTGTTGACTTGTTCGAAGCTGCGCGATGCTCATCTTTATTCATTATCGACTGTATGCTCACCAATGAAGTGGCAGAATTCCTCGCTCATCATCAGATCATCGTAGAGGTTTGTTTGTGACTACTAAGTTATCTGAATAGACTTGCTTGTTTAGCAGCTGCAAACGCATTTCGTTGGATCTTCCGACAGTTTTGAGGTGTATCGAAGTATAATCGTCCCACGAGTCACTTGGTCAATACATTTGACCAGCTTTCTGGAGGTCAGAATGGTCATAAATAGTCGATCTTTACATGCACATTACGCAAAAAGCTACGATTCAATAGCAATTCAGCGTGAAGACAAAGGGAATTCGCAGAATTTCTGCATAGGTAGTATGGCATGCTGGCTACAGAAGTCCAAATTCAACGCGGAAGTTTTGACAGTAAAGCTCAATTACCATTCCATAGCGCGTGCAGGCGTGGCTGCTTTTACCATACTTAACACATTGAGACAAGGCCGATTTTTCGACTACTGTCATTTCGGACATGAGCCTTTTTTGCTCTGCCAAACTTACGACCCACCCGTGGGTCGTATTGTCTGAAATGGTAGTCTTATTGTAAGAAATTCAAAACATGTTTCTGAGAATATCCCAACAAGGGCTATATCGAAGGCGCTGATTATCAAAATATGACTTGTTTCAGTTTTTGGCAGTATACGGTAAGATTACGGTAGTCACTCTGTACGAACCCAACATCACGGGTTTTCGTGAAAAATTGTGTTTTGGGGTTATTTCACATGCTGATCACGATTATAGTGTCTACTTTGTTCACTACCCACAGTGGGACTACGGAGCAGTACGGTAGAGTTTTTTTTGAGAATCAAGAAACTGATGTAAGAAGGCGGTATTAGCACTTGAGACTATCATTTTCGTAATCAGCATGCTAAAAAACCTATATATGCAAGGTTTGGGCTTCCTGGGATGAACAATGCGAAAAATAAATAAAATTAATAAAATCGATAATTTTTGATGGGCTGACATCAGTCTCATGCTCTCCCTGTATTTCTTGTGCATGTAAACTTGAATTGTCAAAAACAGCACCACTCTGCGAGAAATTCGAGCTAAAATCTGTGCCTTACCTCTATCTACGGTATACCTACCGTAATATTACATTGCAGTATCCCAGACCCGGACCACTCCGGCTAGAGCTTCGCCAAGGTGTCCTCAATCATGTGCCAGAATACCGTAGAATTCCATAGCATGCTGGCAAAGTTAGAACGACCCACCGGTGGGTCTTATTGTCGTCAATGTGTTAATAAGTGCTTATCTGTAACCAGTGCGTCACCTCTGCTTCGCAGAGGTTCGCACTGGCTTTGCTATCCGTGCCTTCCTCGTGATAGCATAATAATGACTTTCAAACTCACCGCGCGATGCTGAACATCACGAATGAATTGCAAACTACCATTCATTTTTAGAGCTTTTCATGTAAGATCGGTAATTTTGGGAGAAAAAATTTTCCCGCAGAAAAGCAAATGCGATTTTGATATTACTGAATTTATCTTGGCTTTATAGTCGCCATAAGGATAAAGACCACATTGGGCTACATATCTACTCAAAAATCCTCTCATTTTTTAAAGTAAAAACTTGGCAAATCGACAATTTGCCTCGTTACATCTTTTGGCGCCAATTTTGTGTAAACTGAGCTGAAGTCAATGTTTTTCGGATTTACTTGCTGAACAAATCCACAACTTTGCAAAAAGTCCAATTACCGACCCATGGAGGGCCAAAAGTCGCGTGGACCCGTTTGACGCACAGTTTTTGATGGTTCCACTTACTGGATCGGCTTGTGATTTTGCACAGTTTACCTACACGCTGACAGGGTGCTATGACCAAAATTCTAGATCAAACGCTGGCTGCAACTCACTCTGTGAATTTCGTGACAGACAGATATACACACACAGACAAGCAGGCAGACGCTTAGCGCTTTATTATAAGTCATGATAGCATAACAAGAACAACCATCTTCCTCCACGCTGTGTAGAGCCAGCAAAGAAAGTTCAGTTCAAAAGCGCTTGGTAAGACGGAGAGGGAAAAGTGCGCATCGGGGTCATAAAAAGTTTTTTGGCAACAAAGTTCTTTCAACTTTCTTTCTGCTAAGTACTATGGAAACAAAAAGATGTCAGATTTGAGCCATTTTTGAAAAACCTCCAAAGCTAAGCAGCAAGCATAACAATGATGACGAAAAATGCGTGTCACCGTTAGAATGACGACACTACTGTACCCATTTTCAGGCGTATAAGCCGCACCCCTTTTGCTCTCGCGAGCAGACCCAGGCGTGCCGCCGCGCATATGTCTCGCAAAGCGATCGCCTTATCGCATACTGCTCTCACTTAGCGCGCTCCATGATGACCGCCAGTCTTTTAGCGCGTTTGCCTTTAGAGCGAAAAGGGTGCGGCTTATACACCTGAAAATAGGGTAAATGTAGGGTGGCTGAAAAATGCTGGCGCGCTTGAAAACTCCATCTCTTCTTCCAGAAACCCTTTTTGACGCTGATTCAAATTGTGAAAGAAAGAAGCATATTAGGCAACTATACTTACAACCTATCGCAATGTTCACCTGACCCTCATACGTGCGTTTATGCGGGGTATCACTGAAGTGAGAGCGCTGCGCATCATAATCTAATCGTCTCATTTTCTTGTGAGTTCTCTGCAAAGGCCATTCACACTATTAATTTTTTGCATCTCAATTTCTCCTCTAAGGAACAGCAGCAAAGTCAAGTGGATTGAAATCAGGGTACTGGAGGGACATTGATCTCCCATATTCGGGTACACTAGTGTCTAGGAAGGGTGGTCTTCGCGCGAGCACAGGAGACCAGTTTTGCTGAACATCCCTTTCGCCTTTGTCCTTCCATGGGACCACAGCTTCTGCTAGCACCTATTCTTGATAGTCTTCGTAATTTCACGGTTGATAAAAATAGTTTTCTCAATGGCGTTTACCTCAGCCCAAAACATCAATCCCTTCGGAAAAACGCTTTGCGTGATGATTTTCTATTCCTATGTTCTTCTGACTCGGGCTAAGCAGCTACCGTGCATATTGTCTGTTGTGTTTCAGTGATGAAACCTCATAGAAAGCAATACAATTTCACGTAATAGTCCAACTACGGCTGTTTAATAGCTCCATCAATCTACTTAGGCTTCCGTACTAGTCACAGGTTGAATTTTATTTTGAGCGCTGATGTTGGCTCCCAGAGGATGTTTCATTCATATATTCAACATTCTCGGCTTGAGCTAAAAAGTCGAAACGTTGGCCGGTTAAAGAAAAGCTATAACATCTTGGTTGCTTAAACAACTACACAGTACATGTTCTACGCGGCACGCTTTGGAAGTATGGAACACTAGCCGGCGATCCCGGTTTCACTCGGGACTCCAGTTTAGCTAAGGAGAAGTTACTTATACTTACGCTTTTGAGCTTCTTCTGCGCAAAAAGGGCTATGAAACGAATTGCCCGCATCTTTCCGAAATGAGATTAAAATGAGCTTTACCATCCCCTGACTACATGGTCACGGCAAAATGATTGGTTTGAGCATGTCAAGCCTCATTTTCCCAGATGTAAGTAAACAAATCAACAAATCAATAGAAGGATCTAGTAAATCGCCGCGAAAAGTAGCCTATGTTCTGCGCCGGGGTCCAAAACACAAGTGTGCAAAGTTTCAGCTCATTTAGTCCACTCAGAAAGATTAGTATAAAAAACATACTTATTAACAGACAAACACACTTTGAGTTTTATATATATAGAAATTTTTTGCGTTCTTGGCTCTTCAATATGGATCTTGTTACTGCTGATTAATAGATGAGTACAAAGACTTAAAGACTTTTGACAATACTGTGAACATTGACGAGAAATAGACAAGCTTGCAGTAGAATTCATTCAAGCTAAACCGCGTCGTTTCCGGTAATTCGCTTCTCAATGATGCATCACAGTCTATGAGCGTTGACAAAGGACGGACGGTCTGTTTCATCGTCAACATGTCTCGTTTTCCACTGCTCAATAATCCTTTGGACTTCGAAGTGGAGAGAGATTGATGACCAAAGCTTTCTGCTCATAGGCTGCCAGAAGAGCGATTGATGTGACACACGGTCTTATGAGCGCGCACAAACAAATGGGCTAGGAGAAAGTTGAAATAGATTAGAAAAGGCAAATTTACACCATTCAACGGCCTCAAATCAAAGCCACAAAATGGCCAGCACTTTTCAGACACCCTTACAGTGAGAGCAATTAACTACTACATTGAAAATGAATTATATTCTGTTCCTTTGTCTTTTCTCCATTTACTTTCACTCAGAATGAATTCAAGGATGTGTCAGGCTTGTGAAAGAAGAGATCGTGCACTGTGGAAGTGTGTTGAGGTTTTTAATTGTCCAAAAAGTTCTCTTGGTTGTAAACGCGTTGATTTTGCGAACGAGAGAGTACTTCGGAGCCTTAGATGCTGCGGGCTTCTGAGATTCAGAACTGCGCTTGCAAACTTATCTCTCCAATCTGCATCGAGAATACGTACAGCGCAGAAGGGACCATCTTTGCGTTGCTTCGATAATAGTACTTTGTATCACTTGAACATAAATAGTCAGCTTAATCTTTAAGCAAGAATGTTTTCAGTTGACCCTACCTTCGCTATCAGAAACACTTGGCCATGCTCAAGTCACTCGTGATGACAACCTTCCTGTTGGACGATATCGTGTCTGTCGTGATGAAGATTATGAGCGCGAGATTGTGCTTGCACATCAACCATTGAAGAGACCTGAAACATTCGATGTAGCCCTTTTATTGATACTACAGGATTTCTATACTTTTCATCCTGATTCTGTCAGTCCGTACCTTGAATCAGCTAGTTTGCAAGGTTTCCGTACAGATTTGGGTCTTTGACGACACTTTATTGTTCTTTAAACTACCACTAGTTTTCCAATTTCCTATGAATCCTTTGAGAAAAAAATTGAATTAGAAGACAACTAAAACAGCCGCTTTTGTAGGTGTCATTCTCAAACGACATATATAAATACAATAATTTAGGTTTCTCAGAAAATTTTGGATGATGAAGAGTTTTGTCAGCTACAAACTTACACTATCAGTTTCATGTAACACTAAAATTTTGATTTCGTTGATCTTTGAAAAGGCGACAAGTTCTAATTCTTCATCAGCAAATTTGACAAGTTGCGTGGCTATCAAGTGGTTGCTGATGAAAGCTATGCTCCTAGATTTATTCAATAAATTATCATACAAGTTCGCTTTTAGTATTGCTTTGAGATGTCTCCGTTTAGATAAGGCCGCTTTGTTTCGAAAGAGAACAGAATGCGCGTTCTATTCCTACATCTCTTTAGTGACGGGATTTTATTCGATCTTACATAGAAAGGACAGATACAGAGACGGATCAACGGATATCAAGCTATAAAAAGTGGAAAAAAGTGGAAGACCGTGGCTGCAGAAATGGTAGAGTTGTTCAAGTTGAGATACATAATCTTCAGCAAGGACTCTTTTTCAACGCATGGCAAACTGTAATCCGCAATAACTACTTCAGCCTAACTGTGATCGATCTTGTCTGAGTTATTGCTCTGATTAGCGTTTAGGAATCCGAGACTTACAGACGTTTGTCAAGCAGAAATATTTCGAGGCGCAATTCTATAACATTAGCAAGAAAATATAGCATGCTTTAGAAACTTTTATGGAACTTGTAAGCCAAGACAACTGGACGCCGCAGTGAGGTCTTGTAGCGCAGGGAACCGTGAAATGAAGAGTCTCTTAGCTTATCTGAATTTTCATCTAACATAAGAACAACAACCGAGATACTTCGCTACTTTTGGAAGAACGCCTTTGAACATTATGTAATTTTTTTTCAAATTAAGTGCGCGTTTGCCTATTTAATGCCCACTCGAAGTAGGCAAAAAGCTAGTAGGTTCCGGAACCCACGAAAAGCCACTAAACGATAATCACGGACGAACCCAGTGTGTTCGCGAACCCAAAAGGCGAGCATAGAGGCATTCACGAAACAAGTTACTCAGTTCACGTGAATTAGGAAACCTACTGAGCGCTGGGTTAACGAACCCAAGCATGGTGCAAATTTCTCAGTGGGTTCACATGAAACAGTCCCCTTGCTGAATATTGTTTGAACTTTTGTAACATGGACGGTTACCACTAGCAACACTTTATGCACTAGAAACACTTTCTACATTCTTCATAATTGCTAGGAATTTTGTTGGATAAATTTTGACAAGATATTCCACTAAGAAGTGAGACTAGCAAACTTAATGCCAGTCACGATTTGGCAGTCTCTGAAAAGTGACAAAGAAGCTTATGCCGAAAGTTTTGATGTCAAGATGAAAGAGCCTGAGCATTTGCCAATGTTTGCTTACGCTATTTTAACACGTTTCGGACCGGTATTGCACATGGTGCAGCACGCGCCATTGAAGGACCTTTTGAACGTTTACAGAAGGTTTTCCTTTTGATCTAGATCAGGGCTCGGCACGAGGTGGCTAGATGCAAATGCGAAAAACGAAGTCCTCCTTGACTTTGGGTATTTTTACGAAGTCCCCTTTGACCCCCCACCATTTTCCCTGAAAATCCTCCAAAAAACGAAACGTCGACTAAAAAAAAACGTCGCCAAATCGCCAATTTTGCGTGTGTCTTCGGTCACAAAAACGAAACCCCCTTTGCTTTTCATCCCAAAAACGATACCCAGCCTGCTTGTAAGCCACCTCGTGCCGAGCCCTGATCTAGATTATCAAGTCAAAGACCTAAGCTCCTCCTTTTCGAAAGTATCTGTAGAGCTGTGCCATCGATATTTGTTCAGGAGTGAGGACAAATCGAACATCAGTTGCAACGAAGTGCGGCAACGCGAACGACGCGTGCAACGTCGCAACTTTTCTTTGCCTCAATTTCAAAGAGAAAAACCGTAGTTCCAGTAATGATGTGTATCGTATACAACATATATACTTCTGGATACAATTAGAAACTGAGTTCTTGTTCCTATCTTTCACGAAAGCACGGAAGTCCTTCTCAGACGACAAAATTCAAACACCTCGAATTCACTCAGAACTCTGGGTATGGATCTTATCTGACATGCTGATTACAGAGGTAGCACACAATTTACGAGTCAAATCCTTTGTTGGCTAATACCTGAAAGTAACCTCTTTTTCGCCGCGCGCGATTTCGCGATCCGAAACGTGTTAAAATTTTTCTGATACCGCTGCGACTACAGAGGAAGCCTCATATAGGAGGCAGAGCATCTGCATTTGTGTTCCTTAAAGGCACCGTCCACCCAAAATGGAGGTTGGCGAGATTATGATGGCATACTAGTGTGGGCCCCCATACCAGACAAACCTCCAAGCTTCGCCGCAATGACTTCTGGAGCGAGAAATCCGCTCCGGACTTGCATGCTTTCTCTCGCCTGCGCTTTGCAGAGGGTTCTCGAAACAGCGATTTTTGGGGTTTCGCGGATTTTCGACTCCATATTCGGAATCAGGGCTTTCAGAAGGCCTGAAGGTGACAAAAACCTTGAATTCGAGATTTTGGGTGGACGGTGCTTTTAAGGCGTGTCAAGCGTGCTGGCGCTCTTGGGTCAGCGCGATCCGTGTGTGTCGGGAGATGAGAAAATATACACAGATTAGAAAGGCACATTGCTGACAAAATGGGTTAGCGAACCCAGCGAGCACTTGTGAATAGACATGTCAATCTTTAGTTTTGGTGTTTGTAATTCTCTCCGCGCCTACATCATCTGAAACGAAGTAATGTGCGGATTTTAGCAGTTTTTCTCTTATTCTTAGAAAATGTTGGATATGTGACACAGGTGCCTCAATTTTCGATCCTTATCTCCAGTACTGCATAGATTCATGTAATTTTCCACATGCCAAGATCAAAGACATTGGTCCAGTCAAAATCTTTGTTGAAAGTTGCGGAACGAGACCTTGTTGAAGAAGTTGCAAGAAAATTTTTGGAAGGCAAGAAATGCTTGTAAAATAAAGTCAGATGAGGTAATCATGTAGATGTCTACAAGATCCACGCAGATTCTTGTAATTTTAGCTGCTGTGCACTATGAAGATCCCTCTATAAAGCGGAGAATGTGTGCGCACAAATTTTCTTGATGAAGAGTACTCAAAGGGCTTTGCCTATGAAAATACTTCGTAGCAGTTTCTTTCGATAAATACATTCAATGTTGGGGATACAGCGGGATCAACTGGAGCACGAATCTTGTTCATAGCACCATATCATATTCCTTTTTTCGGGAAAATAAGTCCTGTCTGAAGCTCTCTAACCCTCCATTCGCACTCGTTCAGTTTAATAAGTGATGGTTTTATACTAATCACTTCATTAGTACGCTTCAGGATATTGTAGGTTGTCGTAGCCACCGTGTTTCCATTTTTCATATCTTTTGCCTTTCAATCTTTCCTGCAAATTTTTAGGCCATGATCGCAGTGCTTTCGAGCAAGAGAAATTATTGGATGCCGCTGTCGACGCTTGTCTCGAATAGTCTTGAGGGGGTAGCTTTGTTTTCAAACAACACACCTGTCGTTAGTGTGGTGTTTGAACTCGTCTTCGTTTTGAAACGAACTGATAATAGAACGGAAAAGAGGTGTTGGTCGAAGAGTTTACTCTTTGATGAATGGGTAAGGCAGTGCAGTGTTCTTAGCAATGCCTCATGTAAAATTTTTAGGTTCAACGTCAAAATGAAAGAGGTAATTTTTAAGAGTCATACTGGGGCTTTTGGATTTTGCGTGCGAGCAGATATCTATAGGCTACGATATAATATGCAATTTTTTCTAGAATGTTGGGGAAACAGCTTACATGTCAAGAATTTCTACAACACACTAGCAGTCGGAAACTCTGACTTTGCTCAGCCCAGAAAACCCATTCTTAATATAATTTAAGCGTAGAAATTCGCTAGAGCCAAAGACAAATAATAGATACTACTATTGAGGTAATCTTGAAATGCTGGGACAATTTCAGTCGCCTGTTTTACTGTCACGAGTATTCCCATAGTAGTCGAAGCACATTATCTTGCAGGTTAATAAATCTTCTTTTTCTTCTATATCTTGTCAATTTGCTCTTTTCATCAATTGCTCACTCATTCAATTTTGCATGCCCTTCTTATGTTAACACTAGCTGGCTTACCCGGCTCCGCCGTATGTTCCGAATAGAAAATTGCATTTCTTAACTGATCCGGACCAAACTTGGCACACATACACTACGGGCCCCGGCGGGTGTCATAGGCTACTTTTCGTCATCGATCGATAAAATCGACATCGATCGATAACGAAAAGTGGACTGTGACACCCGCCGGGGCCCGTAGTGTATGTGTGCCAAGTTTGGTCCGGATCGGTTCAGAAATGGAATTTTCTATTCGGAACATACGTACAGACCGACAGACAGACAGACAGACATACAGACATACAGACAGACAGACAAACAAACAGACATTCGGCTTTATATATAAGATGAACACCATTAGCCCGTCAGTTGCTTGATTGTGTGTGTTTTTCTTCCCTTCCCCAAGCATTCCCCTCCAAGGCTCAACTGGTGGAGATAGATTTGCAAAAGTGATTTGGCGCCATCTGGGCAGAAATAGGTAAGCACCTACTCCGCTACTGCATGCAGATGTGGAGCCAATACAATCACTTCTTCTATTTGCATTGTCATTCAGAACGCTAAGGCTTCTGCTTATGCACCCATTTATTAGGTGTTTGCAGAGTCCGCAGTTTTTATAAACAAATGAAATGAGAAAATCTTACCAAATTCAGGAAAAGTGTAGTTGCGTTGTTGCGCACAAATTTCTGCCACCTTACCGTCTAATTTTCAACACCGTTTTTACAAAACTAAGCGGCTCCGGTCCCAAAAAGTTGCCCATCCACCTCTAAGATCTTCTTCAAATCAAAAGCATCATTTAAAGAGGTCTCAAGAGAGCGGGACAAATGGCAGGTAGGGCAAGGTATGAGGAGCGCACTTAATACTCACGTCCGTAGTGGGGCAAGGTATGAAGAGCGCACTTCCACTCACGCCCCTTTACTCAAGCTTTGCAGAACAGTTTTAACGACGTTTATTGTACGGGGCCATGTTTGTCATGCAGGAAAACTCACTGAACTTGTTTATGAACCTCTGCCATAGATGCACATTCAGAAAGCGCAGTTGGGTAATGTACAGTAATGTCGATCGTT